CTGAAATACCTCACCAACCCGTGGCCCTTTGCACAGTGGAGGATCGATGTACTCAGACCATTCCCGCCAGTGACAAGGTAGAGGAAGTTCCTGGTGGTAGCGGTTGATTACTTTACGAAGTGGGTTGAAGTTGAACCTCTTGCGACGATCACAACGCAAAATGTATAAAACTTCTTATGGAAGAATGTAGTGTGTCGCTTTGGACACCCCGGGTACATATTTCGAACAATGGCAAGAAGTTCGATGATATAAAATTTCAAGACTAGTGCAAGGACATGCGGATACAACAAAACTTTACTTCGGTAGCGCACCCTCAAGCGAACGGCCAAGCAGAAGTCACGAACAAGGTCATCCTCCATAGATTGAAGGCATGCCTTGACTGAGCTAAGGGACTATGGGTAGATGAACTACACAGCATACTATGGGCTTACCGGACCATGGAGAAGACCGCAACAGGCGAGACCCCCTTCAACTTCACCTATGGCACCAAAGCCATCATTCCAGTCGAGATCGAGGTTCCTACGCTATGTCTGGAAGCGTATAACGACAAGGCAAATGACGACGAGCTACGCACCAACCTCGACCTTCTGGACGAGGTATGGGACCTCGCATACATCAGGACCGCAACTTACTAGCAGAGAGTAGCTTGGTACTACAACGCCAGGGTCAAGAAGTGGAATCTCCGCATCAGGGACCTGGTTCTCTGCAAAGTTATGGTACCTGAGCCCGATGTTGGTAAGCTCGGGCCTAATTGGGAAGGACCCTACCGAGTAAAGCGGGTATTCAGGGAAGGAACGTACGAGCTTGTGACCCTAGAGGGAAAGTCAGTGCCTCAAGCATGGAATATTGTCAACATAAGGCAATATTATCCATAAGTACCGAGCGGAGTGGACTATAAGTCGCTCCTTGAGACTAAGGGCTGAAATGCCGAACTAAGGAAAGACCTCGTCGTCACAAGACCCAGTTGCCTCCCCGGCATGGGCAAACTCTAGGAGAGGATCATAAGTCACTCCTCCAGCCTAGGGGCTGAAATACTATGCTGACGAGGAACCTCGGCAGCTTGATTGCTTGTGCAATTCGAAACGATTAATTATCCCGGCTCGCTGCCAGCTCGACAACTCGGTAGCTTAGGTGACCTATAACTTGAATGAAATAGCTGTTTTTAAATGAAACTAGTAGTTTAACAAGGAAAATTGTTCTTACATAACGAAAGAAAAAAAAAACCAGGCCTAACGGCTCGAGAGAGTACATTAGAGAAAGAAAACAAGAAGGGAAAACCGAGCTCATTCGCCCGGGAACAAGAACTTTGGAGAATCACGCAGAAGAAGAAAAAAGAACAGCCGGCCTCAAGGATCCATCGCCTCCACGTCCTCGTCGGTCTCATCCAGCAAGTTGGGCTCCTCCTCCTCCGTTGCGTCCGCCGTCTCCAGGGTAGGCCCTTCATCATTATGCCATCTAGGTTAAGGTCAGAGAACTTTTTCCAGACCAGCCAATAGCAAAGCTTGAACCCTGAGCGGTAGGACTTCATTGTCGTACTCGACCTGGAGGTGTTGGAACTGTGGGGACTCTTTGAAGCGATCCACCACCTTGACACACTCTTCCTCCACCATGGCATCAAAGGTCCTGGCCCGCTCCTGCAACGTGGCCTCCAAGCCCTGCACCTGCTGGCGTAGGAGCTCCCTCTCCTCGGCCATCCTTGAGGACTCTCTATAGCAAGCGCTCTCCTTGGATAGCCGAAGGATTTGGGCCTCCTGGTCCTAGACGACCAGCTCTTGGGCCTCAATCCCCTTCTGGGCCTGGAGGGTTTCACCTCGAGCCCGATCGAGCTCGCGCTGAAGCCTCCGCACTTTCGAGTGCTGGTGAGTAGCATCCCATGAATGGATAGCCGTTTGACAGGCCATGGCGTGAAGGGCGGTGTTCACCTCCCAATAGAAAATCGGGTGAGTAGATGGAGAAATATGTGTATATATATATCCCCACAACAAAAAGAGGAGGGTGAAGCCAAGTGGTACTTACCAGCATAAAGTGCGACGTGGCCATTCTCAGGAGCCGTCGAGGGTGTATGTCAGACCATGCCGCGATCTCCTCACAGAAGACTGACTCCTGGCTCTTCTATGAAGCCACGATGTAGTTGGTGATGGTCTCCTCCCTCCCCTCGGAAGGGAACCTCGGGAAGTCGGTGGGGTCAGACTACGAAGTGGGGGCATACTAACATGGGACCTCTTCTTCATCGCCACTCCCCACGGCTTCTCCTTCATGCGATGTGGGTTGGTACTCAAGCGGCGAAGTGAAGGATGGACCCGTGGCCCCAAGCTCGGCGGCCCCGGACGAGGACGCCTGGTCTGGGCGAGACCTCTTCGCCCTGCGATTTTGGGAGCTTGACAAGAGGCGACGAGCATCTACACTAGACATCTTGGCTACAAATAACGAAAGGTGTTAGCCCAGTGAAAAAAAAAGTGAAGTCTTTAGGAGTCCTAAAGGGACCTACCAGGGCTCAGGCCGGCCTGCACGAGCTTATCCTCAGCAAGATAGTCCGACCATAGGAAACCAACTGCTGCCCAGGATTGCAGCATCTTCCAAACCTCGGGGTTCAAACTAACACCCGGGTCCTGAATGGCGGGCCTCTAGTGGGTTAGAAAGGGCCACCCCCTGGGGTTGCGAACTACGAAGTAATCCCGCTTCTATGCCGGGATCCTGTTGGGCAGCCTGTGGAGGAGTTTGAAACCAGGACGGGGGGAGAAGTAGTAGGAGCACCTATTTGGATGGGCTCCGGAAGAAGCGCTCTTGATGGAGAGAATAGAGGCAAAGGTATCGAGAGATAAAGGAAGACAATACTCAAAAAACAAAGATATGGCCCCGACTACATTACGGATGGAGTTCGGGTGAAGCTGATCTATGGTTATGTTAAAATGAGAAAGAACCTCTACTATAAGAGGGTGTAGGGGGAGCCGTAGGCTAGCTGTGAGCTGCTCTTGGAACATGATGATTTCGTCATGCTCGTACTCCAAAAGGTAATTACGGTTGGGTTTCTATAGATGAGATCCCTAGGAAGGTTATATATGATCATTAAAGACCGAAGCCTCTCCATAGACATGGTAGAGGGGCCAAAAGTATCGGGGTCATGACTCCAGGAGGAAGAAGCTAAGTTACCTGAGGCCTCTTGGGCCTCTGGAACCTGCCCCTCGGGGAGCCCCTATGCTCTCCCCCCGAGTTCGAGGGGCCCTCATCCTGATCATCGCCCGGGGAGAAGTGTTGTATGGGTATCCAAGCATTGTGGCAAAAGACTCACCGGAAAGTAGACTAAGAAAGTAGTGACAACAAAGGAAGCTCGAACGAGTAGGATGAAGGCACGACTTCAAAACCGAAGGCAAGACAAGTTGGCGTAGAAAAATGAGGTCTAGGGCCCTCCTATTTATAGCTGTTGTGCCCAGAAACCGACGGCCAGATTAAAGCAAATCTGACGGCCCATAGCAGACCTGGACGCATGTCCTCCGAAGATGAAGGCGGCTTGGCACGCTTTTTGGCGCCCGAGGAATTTAAAGATTGCATAATGCCCGAGTACACCTCATGTAATCGGGTAAGGAAGTCTGGGTAATTGGTCAAATCCACCCGTCACCTCATGAACTCCTCGTGCTAGGGCAAGGCCCTTCACACGAGGAGTGGGGGGCAATTGATGAAGGGTGATTTGACCCAACCTCTGGCCGAGCTACATGTGGATATGATTCGACACAAGTGCCAGCTCAACAAGTGTCAACAACCTCCCTCACCCCCGCAAAGCAAAGTATGAAGCGCTAAAATGAGCTCGTGTCAGCTCGGGAATTAAAGCAACCAGCTCACCCCAATTTTGAGGCACCTCGGAGACCAATACCTACAGCTCACAACAAGGTAGCTCGCTACAAGGTAACTCGCCAATAGGGCAACTCGCCACGAGATAGCTCGCGGTAAGGTGATTCGCTACGGGGCAACTAGCTATTCGGCAATCCGTTGTAAGGCGGTTCAGGACATACGGGAGGTTACCCAACAAGACTGTACCCGTCAGATTGTGCCCGCGCCCCCTGATTGGCAGCGCAGTACCTGTCAGCCCAGGCGACTGCGTCCACATTCTTCGATAGGCGACATGGTGTCAGCCACTACCAAACCACGTCTGCCGCCTGATAGGGCAGTACACTATAACAGTCTTCTGTGTACGCCACCTTAGCTCTGGCAATAATGGCTGTGGCGGGAGATTAGAGACGATTACACTTGATGTGACAGAGCTCCAGCTTAAATAAGCTCCAACCTCCTAGGGGAGAAGGGGAATCTATCTTGAACTTGCGCATCAACACACTTAGCTTTCTCAGCTCTCTCATTTTCCCTAACAATTCTCTCTTACTAAAAGGGGAACCCATCAAAACTTAAATTTATATAAAAATACAATTTGAAAGAATATCTATTAAATGGAAGATTAATTATTATAATATCTAAAATTTATTTAATTGCAAAATGCAATTGTTCAAATACAAAAATTAAAAAAAAATCAAATTCTCAAATAATGTAGTGCATCTCTGAATGCATGTTCATTTTTAAATTGAACAAGCTCTCCCCTTCACTGTCTCTACAGAAGCTCTAAGTCTTTTCTCTTTTTTTTTTTTTAATTGGCAAAATTGACTTGAAGTCTTGAACGAGCCATTAACACCCTTTCTCCGGTTCGCTTTGTGTTGATTAATTAGTTCAGTGAGACGTGCAAGAGGGGAGAAAAAACAAAACTAAAATTTGTAGCATTGAAACCAGTCCCTTGGCAWTTACTTGGAAGTAGTTGGAAAATAATATGGGAATATATGTATGGAATAAATTATACTGAACTACAATCTTAAAACAAATGGCTTAATAAATAATAATATCAAAACAAATAAAACACCAATAATTCAATGTATGAACTATGCAATCAATCCAAATTGATATTGATTTGGATGGGTCCAACCCAAAACCACTTAATTGACAGTGATGTCCTAGATTATTTCTCAACGAGGGAAATTCATGGACAATATCATATTTCTTTGCAAAGAAGACTGCTCAGATGTATCACCAACATGATAGAATTCTGAAGGTTCAGATAATAAGCTCACACTCTCTTCTTCTATTGGTAGAACCCATGGTTGTTTTCTCAACCTTTYCAAGTTTTGTAGCTCCATTGCAACTTCTTCCATAGTGGGCCTTTCTTCACCTTTTAGACTGAGGCATCTTTTTGCAACCTTGGCAACTACACAAAGTTCCTCAACATTTTTCTCATCCACAAGTCGATCTTCAATTAGTTCAAAAWGATGGTTTTCATTCATTGATGAAATGAAATATGTAGCCAAGTTTCTTTGCTCTTGTGGTCTTTCAAAAGACAGAGGTTTTTTACCTGTTAAGAGCTCTACAAGAACCACTCCAAAGCTATAAACATCACTTTTCTCTGTCAATTGACTTGTGTGGAAATATTCTGGGTCCAAATATCCCAATGTCCCTTGAACCAATGTTGTTATTTGAGATTGATCTGTAGGAAGTAACTTGGAAACTTCAAAATCAGAAATTTTTGCAATATATTTTTCATCTAATAATATATTTGTGGATTTGATGTCCCTATGAATAATTGGTATAGAGACTTTGGAGTGAAGATAGGCAAGTGCGCTAGCAGTTTCTATTGCAATCCTCAATCGATCTTCCCACGAAAGCAAAATGCCATTGTTTTGATGAATATGGTGAAAAAGGGTTCCATTGGAGATATATTCATAAACCAACAAAGGTACGTCAGTCTCTAAACAACATCCCAAGAGTTTACCACATTGCGGTGATTAATTTGAGTTAAAATGACAACCTCATTTATTTGTACTCACAGTAAGCATATCATCAACATAAAGACATACAATTACTCCATAATTCTCAGTGAATTTTGAGTAAATGCATCTATTAGCACTATTATGTTTAAAATCAAAAGCTAGAATGTAAGAATCAAATTTCTCATGCTACTGTTTAGGTGCTTGTTTTAATCCATATAGTGATTTAATCAATTTATAGACTTTCTTCTCATTTCTAGGAAGAATAAATCCTTCTGATTGTTCCATATAAAACTCTTCATTTGAATCACCATTTAAGAAAATAGTTTTAACATCCATTTGGTGAACAAATAAGTGATAAATGGATGCTAATGCTATGAGTGTWCTAATARAAGTTGTTCTAGCCACTGGTGCATAGGTGTCAAAGTAATCAATCCCTTCCTTTTGACTAAATCCTTTAGCCACTGGTGCATAGGTGTCAACGTAGTACTAATTAACCAAGGTTAATGGCATGTAGACTTTGGAGGGAGTGGAGTAAAACTGAAATGATTCAAGTGACARTATTAATGGCTAAACAGAATGGCTAAACATGATTCATATAACTGATCCRGTGAAATTGAGATAAGGCTTAGATGATGATGAGTCAAATAGAAAAGTATTAAATTAAATGAGAAGGTTAAATTATTCGATTATAACAGGAATCATTAGAACAACTTCTAATATGATAATATCATATTTATCAGCACCATGTTTATATTTTGATGACTAAAATTTATGATTCATGTATATAATTTTGGGCTAGGCTTATAGTAGTTCAAGCATAGCCCAAAATAAAATTGGACCCTAAAATTGATCCTAGGGTTGTCTCTCATCGCCTATACATGTAAATACTGAAGGAAAGGAAGAGAATATA